GACAACCATCCCCTGCAAACAAGTCCGCTCCCGAGATGGCTTCCGCGGCAAGTGCAACAAAAGTGGCTAAATGCAAAAGCCCCAGAAGTGGCCGAGCCGTATTTTTAGGAACTTACCAAACAAGTGGGGAGAAGGCAAGAGCGGAGCCCGGGTGAAGGGACCACGTTGGACTGAGCAAAGATTACAATACATTCTATTTAGAGTGCATTACATCACCCCCCCGGTGACGTCACGTGGGATTCTCTGGCGGACCTTGTTGCACCCGCCAGGGAGCGGTGGCGGCGGCGGCGACCGCGCAAGCAACAGCTTGCAGAGCCCAGCGCCGTGTGACACGGTCCCTGACATTAGTGGTATGAGTCAGCTTGGAAACAATCCTGATGGTTTCAGAGAGGACCACGGAGGAGGCGCGACACGGGCTCTACTGCGGAGGGGGCCAGTGGGGTTTGGAAGGTGTAGGAATTGTGGTAGGGGTAAGGAAGAATTGGGGAGGCGGATGCTGAAGGATGTGGGAAAAGACTTTCTGCTAGAAGAAATGTAGATGCTTCCCCCTGCCCTCGCCAGAAGAGGTCCCTCTCCTTTTTTGCCTGCGACAGTCGTGACCTCATTACCGTGTTCCCTACAGCCTGGCTTCCCAGAGCATTCACTCAACATCCCTCCCACCTCACCTCCAGGGGAATAACTTCCTCATTGTGCACACTTACATGGAATACTCAGCCCTCACCCTTTCCAAGGCCCCCACCACACCCCACCCCCGAACCCCGCTTCGCTTCGTGCGTCTGAGAAGCTGTAGGGAGAGCTGCTCCTGAAGGCGAAAGGTGAATCACCGCTAAAGCCAAGAGACGCGCCTGATGGAGACTGGGCGTCAGAGCCGGAAGGCCCGTGGCGATCACTTCCACAGCCTCCTTGGGAACTGGCCCAAGCTCACGGGCTGGGAAGCCGCAGAGCCAGGGCCAGAACTTAGAAGCCCGGTCCGCGAGAGGAGCTTGGCGTCTGCAGCATCAGCCAGTTCCTATCGTTGTCCCTGTCACCTTCCCCATCACCATGCCGACTTCATGCCCTTTCCGAAGTTCTCCCTGTGAGTAGGGTTGCAAAAGGAGACATAAGCTACATTCCAGCCCCGACCACAGTGACCCTTGCACCAGTCTACACTTTAGAAAACACACACCCCTCCTTTCTCCCTGTAAGCTGAGTACAAAAACGAGAAGTAGGACAGGTGTTATAACTATTTCCATTTTACAGATGAGCTAAGGCGGAGTCTAGAAGGTTAGGGGGCTGGCCTAAGATCACCTGAATAATTAGTGGTGGCACCAGGACCACCCCAATTGCTGTTTGCAACCCCAAACCCAGCTGGGTTCCCTTCTACAGGAGTGACCATTCCCTTCTTGTGGGTTATGGCTGCTAAGAACATACCAGCTAGGAGTTGGGTCTTTGCTTAGGAACAGTTTAGCCCCCATTAGCACACAGTGATCATTCCTGACATTTATGTAACATTGGACATTTACATAGTACCTCTTGTCCCAATGCTTCAGAACAGTGACTGTGCAGTTTGCCAGAGGATCATGACTGGACTGGCTAGACATCTTAATCTTAATGCTCTGCCTGACTCGGTCCATCTGAGCCGGTTTTGACATACTACATGGAAGAGCTTTGTATTTCTTATTTCTTATCTGTTTTTAATTGTTTCAATTTCCCCCTTCCCTTTACTGTCTCTTGAAACCATGGAGACTGTTTTCTTGGTTCCTAACAACTTTATTGAAAACTCTTCATTGAGTTTTCAACTTGTTCTTTTCCACATGTAGCCCTGGAGGAACTGCGAAAGAAGGGTTCCAGTCTCAACCTGAGTCTGAACCCATAAAGCTTTAAATGTGACAGCTCAGTTACCTGAGTTGCCGTAGACTGTGGCCATAGCCTACTCAGGAAGCAGCCTCCTTGCCCACATTCCGACTCGATTACCAGTACAGCTTTTTCCATCTAAAGCAGGAATCTACCTCCTTCTCTCTACAAAAAAAAAAAAAAGAAGTTGGTGAGTCAGTCAAGGGGAAAACTTAAGGCCAAGAAAGGATCTAGTGCACCATATCCGAGCTCAGTCTGAGAGCTTATCTTTCTCCCAGCTCACAGCTGTAGATCAGGGAATGCCAGAGGACTTCAGAACGTTCATGGAACATGTATATTATATATATATATACATATATATATAAAAAAAAACTATGCATGGATTTCCATTTTTTTGTACCCAAATAAACTTGTACTTTAATTCCGTGTTTTCATGAATTTTTGAAGTCCCCCCATAGAATAGAGACTTGAATTAGCAAGCTGAGTGATCACTAAGCGTTGAAAAACCTGTAAGCAGTTAATAAACACTAATTTAATTTCCAGTATTTTCTAAACACAAGCATACATGTATATGAGTTTTAACACAAGTCATCCATCAGTTTTTTTTGTTTTGTTTTTTGGTTTTTTTGGAGAGGTTTTTGCTATAGGGCATGTGCGCTCGCCAAACAGACAGAGACAGACAGACAGAAAACGAGAAATCACCCCCCAGGGGGGATGGTCACACCGCAATCCCTTCTCCTCCATTCTCCTCTAGGGATCTTGGGCACGAACGCACACGTGAGCTTAAGCCACCGGGTCCGGAACTCAAACTGTGGTCGACTACGTGGGAGTCCAGCGACATAGCCATTACGTTAACCGCTGGTCCCTCCATAAGTTTCTAATACTATCCAAATCATTTATTGATTTTGAAGTTACTGCTTACCTTTTGTTTGACGTGCTGCCACTGGGTACATAACTCCCTGTCAGAGCCAGGATTTGACACAGGACATGTGGCGAACTTTCCAGTGACTTCCCCAATAACCCGATAATCATTAGGTTACTGGGAGTCTCAACAAGTAGAGAATTTCACCTCACATCAGCAATGTCGTTCATGGTGTTGACTCCTCGCTCAGCTTCTGCTGAACTGAATGAATTTCATTTGAAATCTTTCTAGCCATTGTATTGAAAATTTGGTTACAGATCTCTGTAACCAAAAAAGTCACACACATGCACACATGCATGCATTTTTTTTTTAAGTGTAAATTGAAGACAAAAGGCTTTATGAGCACGGACTCTAGTGTCAGACTGCCTGAGTTCAAATTCTGGTTCTGCTCCTTGAATTTTTTGGTGTTTTTTTTTTTTTTTTTAGAGATTTTTGCTATTGGGTGTATGTACTCACTGGAGAGACAGAAAGACAGAAAGCGAGAAATCACCTTCCAGGGTGATGGCCACATCGTGCAATCCCTTATACTCCATTCTCCTCTCTGGATTTTGGATACACACAAACACGCACCCAGTATGAGTTTTAGGCCACCAGGTCTGGGACTCAAACTGCAGTTGACTATGTGGGAGTCCAGGAACTTAACCATTATGTCATCTGTTGGTCCTTCGAGTTTTAAATAAGCTCTGGGTCTCAGTTTCCTCATCTATGCAATGAGGAGATGGTGCTAATTACAGTAACTCCAGTTAAGAGTTATATAACTGGGGTTAAGAATGGCGCTTGGCACGGCAAGTACTATGTCAGTGTTCACCATTTTTCTATTAATGAAAGTATTACAGGGACCAGCAGTTAGCATAATGGCTATGTTGCTAGACTCCCATGTAGTAGACTGCGGTTTGAGTCCCAGACCCGGTGGCTTAAACTCACGCCGGGCGGGGCGTGTGTGCCCAAGATCTCAAGAGGACAATGGAGGAGAAGGGATTGAGGCGTGGCCATCCCCTCTGGGGGGTGATTTCTCACTTTCTATCTCTCTGTCTCTGTCTTTCTGGTGAGCACATGCTCCCTATAGCAAAAACCTCTCTAAAACAAAAAATGTATTATGGCTAATGCTCTCAGAGGTGAGCATTTGGTGATTTTACAAAACTTAACCAAGTCAATGAAAAGAAAAACGTTGGACCTGCCGTTCTCCCAGTTCCACACTGTCCTGCACACACATCAGTAGTGCCAAGAAAGCTGTCATCTGTGAGACTGTGCTCACAGAGCCCTCACGTTGTGGACACCCATGCCTACCTGCCTCACGTTCACCCGGACTCTTATAGGATTTCTCAGAGCTACAATTCCATGGAGGCTGAGATTCCCAAGAGCAGCCATGCAGGGGCATCTCTAAGGGTACTTCAGTGGTGGTGGTCATAGCATGGGGCCTTTGCCCTCTGGGGACCCAGTGCCACCACCAGGAATGTCTTATTACCCACCAGGTCTCCACCCACTAGGGCCTGCTGGATATGGGGAGACAAGGACCCTTACACCAGAGTCGAGGTAACTGACTGGGATACCACTGAGTCAAGGTCCTCCCCATTCACCCCACAGAACCCTCACCACCCATTATTCCTCACAGGGTGGAGGCACAGACAGGACAAAAGCTCTCTCTCTCTCTGGGTACCACTGGTGAGGCTGAGGAGGTTGGATCTATGCGGGACTAACTGACACCCATACTGGCCAATGAGAACAGGTGAGACGCCCCTTTAGGGAATCAGGGGTTAACCCTTTATTTGCTGGATCATGAAGCAATGGAGGAAGAAAGCTGCGCAGCTGAACTAGCAGGAAGGATGAAGTGAGGGGTGTCAAAGCGGTAGGTATTTGCCAACCCCTGTTTAATATTTTAACAAATGTACAGCCTTTGTTAGTGCTTCTCCACTGAGTATCGGGCCTGAATGGGACTGTTCCCAAGGTCTTCAGATGGGAAGAAATTCTTTAGCCCCACGCTTTGGATTCAGTCGTCTCTCCCGGCATTCTACATACGTGAGCAGATCTGCCTGATGTTGGGGATTAAATGAGAAAGCTCTCCTTCCCAGCCCCTCAGCGGCCACAGAAGTTTTCAAACTAGTGCTGGAAGCAGCTAGCACCTGTGGAACTTGTTAAAGGCAGTTCCTCGGGTCAGACCTCCCTAGGGACCTCAGTTCACAGTTTGCCCTTGGGCCCAGGATTCTGCATTTGTGATTCTGATGCAGGTGGTCTAGGAACTCCACTTTGAGAGACTCCGGACTAGCCAATGCATAGATGGGCAGTGACTGGCGAGCAGGTGGGTGAAGGCCCAGGAATCACATCAGCCCACAACTAAAATACACGAGCTGGGCTCAGATGCTTAAGACCAAGCCACCTCAGCTTCCATAAAGACACACACAGCCCTAGACAAGGCTTCTTCTCC